CATAATATTGATATGCATATGTATCATATCAAGTAGCTGGTATACATGTACTCAAAAGAAATGAAATATTCTGATCGTCTATCGTATATTACGTCTTTTTTGTCTTACGAGGGAGGCAGGAAAATTTTTATTTGTTCTAACCAAACATCGGGAGTAAATATGTGTGTAAAAACTAAACACATTTCATCAAAAATAATATGTAGTTTCTAATTTATTATTTGTTGTTATTTATTTTTTAAAACGATCATGATAAAATGAAATCTTGAAATTGAAAATGTAATCTTGAAAAACAACCGTTTTCTCTGAGTAATTTTATTATAAAACTCTTTGAAGTTATATTAAATTAAAGAGATTATTTTAAATCCTGAAATTTCTCTATATCCTGAAGACCAGCCAAAACTATACATATACAGATTTAAAATTTCCGGTGCAGTGTAAATAAAAGAATACGTAAATACGTACGATATGAAAACATTTTTGCCATCACTGGATGCATACGAATGTCGCCGTTCAGTTTCTACGCTCCGCACAATACATTTTCATGTAAATTTAATCCCACCTACATGCAAAACAGAACAAAATAGCCAGCCGGCCGATTTTAGAAAGAATTCGAAATTTATCGACCCTTTCGACTGTTACTTTTACTGTTTATGGCTAATTTAATGGCAAAAATTATGCCGTGAATAATGTGTTAATTGCGGCAATATAACGAAAAAAATGCGTGCCGAGAATTCCCTTTTCGCTCGACTGAAACTTATTATTTACGTTCACAAAATTCATTCATAAATCGAGTCGAGCGTATTCTAAATAGCGAACACGTTGTATAATTGGAAATTTTGTTTATTTTTCAAATTTTCTTTTTTATAAATGTTACATTAGAAATAGTTTCAGCACCTGCATCTTCGTCTTAAATATGTATATCTATTAATTAGCTAATTAGTTAATTGAATAGAATTTTTGTACATGTATTTAAAAATTAACCTTGTATGTAATTTGAAGTACCTACCTACGAAAAATAATAATACATATTATATTTCTAATGCAATAAAAAATATCAACCATTATACGCACTCACATTTTATGATTGATTTTAAGTAAAATTTACACGGTAGTTTAAATCTATACTTGCTGCGTTTGGAAGACGGAGTAATAAACACATTAATCAGCCGAAGTCCACCCGGGGTGTAAACGAGTCACCGATTTCACTCACTCCCCATTGGCCGGCCTAAAAGTTGATACTCTGTGAATGGTTTTGAGTAATTGTAGGCGATGTGCGAAATTTCGATCGATCGAATCGATCTTTGTACAGGATTTTGCCGTACTGGGGTAGGGATATTTTGGAACCGCCTGACATTTTTATTACTCCGTCTTCCAAACGCGCCAAGTATACTTGATATTAGCATGAAATATTATTAAATTAGAATAAATGTATTTTTTTAGTAATTGATAAGGGTAACAAACCCGTACTAATCAGTCGAATGGCGGCGTCTGCCAAATTAATTATGTTCGAATTGGTGGATCAAAATAATAGCCGAAAGATCCGCGTTCAAGATATGAAGTTTAGTACGACTATATATCACTTATTAACATGTTTACGAGCTCCATATGTTTGCAGGGGCCCGTCGTCGGCAAAAGCGCATTTATGAACGAGCTTCAAACAAACAGCTCGGAAAATGGAAAGCTCCCACTGTCAGAATGCAAAAGTTATTGCTTTTAATTTCACGCGAGCACGTTCTCGGAATATACGGTAAAAATTATTTCCCTTTAATAATAGGGCTTATGTATTCGACTCGTTTTTTTATTATTTCTCCGTCGCATCGCCTGTGCTGTATTTTATTTTTTTTTATTTTTATTTATTTACGTCCATTTCGTTGCATAATTATTGAAGCACGTTCCTTCAAATAGTGATAGTATTAAAATATGTATTATAGACACAATGAATAATAAGATGTTTAGATCATACACAAACCGAAGTTTAATAATTAATTATTTAACCATAAGCAATTATTTTTATTGATTTAAAAGTATTGGAAACTTTCTATAGTGTGGTTGTAAATCTTAAAAAGAATAGAACTGCAATTTTTAGTGCCGGAATTTATTATTCAGAATATGTCAATCAAATGCATTTGAACGCAAAATTTATCGTTAATCTACAATTTCCTATGAAATAATAACACAGGATATCCACACTCATAAAAATTATGCATTGAACATTAATCATTTGATCCTACGCATATTAATAATGCCACTTAAATTCTAAATAAATGTTGATGTTATTTAACTGAATTAATAATAAAAATAATAATATTGATAATGTTTGCAACATATGTTTGCAAAAATATTTATTACGCAAGATAGCTTAAATTTGATGTTTCTGGATCTTTTTCCATTTCGACTAGTCACCCGGTATAAACGAAGGAATGAATATTTATATGGTATACCCGCGTGTAATATGCGAAAATAATGAGAAGATCTTCTGCCTCTCTTCGGCTCGAAATGGCAGTCTCTCTTTCACAAAAACTCGCTTGCTTTTAAAATGCATAGTTTACGGTTGCCGGATAATGCGCATTTCTGATGATAGCGTTTTGTTTTCTTTACATCAAGAGTTTTTCGTTTCACGTCGAGCCGGTAGGTGGGTAAAAAACGAAGAAAAACGAAAAAAACGAAAAAATACGTGGTTAATTTATCTGACGCAAGAATAATGAAATGTCGGGTTTTACGAGATATACCGGTAAAAGGCTTAATTATCTATACAAAATAAAAGATAATAGAAGGTCCCTTACATTATCGAAATTGTAACGAAATTGTCTTATATAGTAAAAAGTCTTCTTTACTAAAGGACTTCAAGGATCAGGCAACTAAACTTGCATATGTGAATAAATCCCTATTTTTCCATCTATTTAAAAATATTTTTAGTACCTACACCATTAATGTCTGACCTTTTTAAAAATGGATCTAATGCAACTTTTAAGCTTTTATAAAGAGTACTAAGACGAATTATCCCACAAACTGAACCCACATATAATTTTTACTCAAGGCTTGCAGTATTGAACGCACTAATCATTTATATCAATATACTTTCATTTCAAGACAACTGAAATGGAAGCCCTTGACATTTGTCGACTCAACACAAATGAAACGCTTAAATTAACTAATAAACTCGATATTTTAAATCACTAATTTGACAAAGAACAATAATTTGTTCAAATGAAAAATATATCCAAAGCATTCTATAAAAAACAAATTTTTGCTTCAACCCGGAACTCGATACAATCACCGGTTTTATGTATCACCAGTTCCAACAATGCGTTCGTTAAATTTCAAAGAGACAGCTCCACCCTGTAGGAAGGGATTCGCACCCGTCCAAATTTTTATCATGGATATTTATCTTCTTCCACTCTGCCTTTACAGATTACAGCCATCAGACGAGGACAGACAATGACAACTGAGTACATTGTGATTTTGTGACATCGCACTACTCACCCAGACTACAGTATTATGTTTGGTGCGTGACAGCCAAGTCCAAGGTCCTTGCTACATGCATTGTGTGATGGTTCTTTGTCTACACGACCGTCTGCCGTCGGAAAATGGCTGAATGGCGTCGAGTTCCACATTCGACGATGGATCGACCGACGATAGAAACCCGTTTTCCTTGAGTGATTGGATCCGATAATGTAGTTTGGATTTTTCTGTGAGAAGATCGAGGAGTCAAGGTAATGAATTAAAGATATTTCCCAATTTTCGGAATAGTTTACACAACGCTGGTAGATGTTGCAGGAATTTGAATAGTTTACGTTCTCTAAGCCAACTAACAAACGCTTCCCAGCTAAGAATAAAATTTATTAGAAATTTAAAGTTCATTTAAATGTTGTTGGAGTGAGTCACAAGCGACGATTTTAATAATTAAGACATTGTTTGTTTGGTTGGAGTTTGATTAGTTTAACTGTTATTGTTAATTTTACAAATTATTATTGCAGACATTTAAAGTTTATCGGTCATTACAATTAAAAATACGTTATGAAATGAAAAGATAATAAAATGAGTAAAATCCGTTTTACGATTTTACTAATAGCCTTGTATCTATGCTTGTACAGATAAAAAATAAACTGGATCAAAATTCAGTTATCATATATTTTTAATATTAAGTACATATTTAGTTACCTACTTTTTATTTATCGTCGAATTTTAATGCTCCTGGTATTTTAGTGAGATAAGAAACCAAATTAAACTACATTAAAACCCTCCTCGATTACCACTGCAATGTATGGATACAAATAAATCGAGTACCTACAGAAGAATATGAAGGTGGTTTATATCAGAACAGAATCCTTGTGTTACAAAAAGATTTGTTCAATTTATCATAAAAGACAAGCCAATTTTTAAAAATTTGGCGGAGGAATAATTGGCAACAGAGAGTAAACATTAACAGAGAGATTTTTAACAGAGGGCCATCGACGACGTCGAAATATTTATAGCTCTAAGCATATAATTAATTGGCTTATGGCGTCTACAGTGCGATACTTGAAAAATAACAAATATATTTTAAAGAAAATAGCGCCTAATATATCGTATATAGCGACGGTGTGCTAGCCATTTCGCGAGGAATTCAAAGGTGTTTTCTTATTGCAAGCATCGAAATATCCAACTATCTTTATAGCAGTAGTTTTCCAATCTTCCTTTTATCAAACCGATCAATAAACTCTTCTTTTTATAGGTTTAATGGGACAGGATACCGTCCTCATCCAGTTCGCCAGCCGTCTCTGTTTAAACCAAGAGAGCAAACGATGCCTTTTAAGCGTCATCAGACAAAACCCCGCCTTTTTATATAAGTAAATATCAAGTGCAAGCTGCCGCTCGGTGCATATAGCGCGTAGCGCTATATTCGGATGCAGAACTTGACCGAAAGCCGGACACCCGATGCAACTAATATCCATTCGATGCGACGCTAATTTATCGTCACGAACAGAGATGGAAGTACGGTACACGTTTAAATAGTAAGTCAGCTGTGCAGTTATTGCACAACCACACCCAGACTATAGAATTCCCGACATTATGGTACATAAAACGGAAAATCCTGCCCACAAGCCGCGGGGAAGCCGCCCCGATCAGTGCGTCGGCGTCGTTTCTTTACGCCGGGACGCCAGCTATCAAACGCTATCACTCCAGATCGTCTGGCGACCCAAGTCAGTCGGTTTCTGCATTCAAGCGAAGTAGCACCTGTCAACACCCGTAAGTTTTTTTTATTATTTACATTTGTACCTACAGCATGATTTTATCTTGGCATGATTGTTTCGCATCTGATATGTCGGTAGGAGTCGTAAAATGCCATCGATTATTTTGATGCTTCTTCAAATAAACATTTCATTTACGCAAACATATGTATAATATGCAACATGTTGATTCGTTATTCGTTTTTGCAGACTGCGAGCTTGCTGCTGGGAAGTGCTGCCTTAATGTAAACCCCCTGTACGTATACTGAATGTATCCTGAGTGTTTTCTGTCCGGTATACCTTCAGTATACGTAACAGGAGGCCACATTTCTACCAGAAGATCATCATCAGCACCATTCGGATCACCTATAGAAAGCCTATTTAGCATAATACATACAAATTATAAGACGTGTAACGTAACTCGTTGTAAAATCATAAATTTCCTAGAGACTTTTTCATTGCTCTCGCATAAAATTATTATAGGTTATGTGACTTTAATTATAACGGGTTATGTTACTAAATAATTGCATAGTGTAAGATATAAATATTTATACATGAAATAGTTAGTTGGAATACATTATCCTAAATGATTAATAAGAATCTTCTCTAAAATGTTACTATTTACCTTATTGCATAATTAACAATTGTTGTTAAATTATAAAAATATATTCTTAATTAAGATTTCTTAATTAGAGGAACACACACGCATATCATAGTTGTTAGTTCCTATCATATTATAGAGAAGCAGGTTTATTTTAAGCATAAACAGTTAAATAAATTTATAGTTAGACGAATAAACGTTTATAAGATATCTTATGCATTAATTATTATCATTCAATTTTATTCTAATTAAGTAACTGATCTGTAAATAGATTTACCTAAATCGTATGTATAATTTTAAAACCAACAACGATACTATTAATGCAAGAACCTTGCATTGATTAATTAGGTGTTTTTAATTAATAATGGGTAGATGAAAATAGTTATGATATTTATGCAAGAATCTTTTACAAATAACATAGGTCGATTTGAATGAAGTAACTACCTATTTATTTAAAAACAATATAAATGATCGTAGAATGAAAATGCAGTGAAATATTCAAATTAATCAAATTAAAATGTAGTTGAGATACCAGTTGCTTTATTTGAAGTTATTTAAATATGTGTAATACTCCATCTAATAACAATACTTATCTCAGTTGAGATAAACTTTTAATAAGCAAATATTATCTAAGTAATTCATTATATTTAATAACAATTAAAGATTTAACAAAACGAGTAATGAGTTTCATTTCTAAACATTAGAATTCAGATAAGTTAGGTATTTTTATAAATGCAGACATTTTCATTGCCTAGTGTTACAAGAAATCCTGCTAGAAATGTTCAAAATTGTTTATATCCTGTTAAAATAGTAGATAGATAATATTGTACACCTACATGGTGTTAATATTTACCCTTTAGTTGTATAACGTGAATTTTATAAAATGTTATTCATTAGTTGTTTTTATAAAATTGTTGTTGCTTAACATTTTATACTAAATTGGTGATTAACTCTTAGAGTGGTTAGCTCTTACAGTAACTTCTACTTTTCTAATATGTAATGATAACGATCAAACTTTCAAATTTTAGTTAATTGATAATAAAAAATTAAAAATCGACCAAAAATACGGTAAAAGTGTTTGTTGTAACCTTTAATTATAACTTGGAATTTCGAAGGAACCTGTAAAATTCCTGTTTACTTTAGGATTAGTATTATAGGCTATAACTAGGTAAAACCATTCTTGTTAAGGTTTGAGTTTGACAAATAAACAAACAAGCATATAGCTCAGTAAATAGCAGGATAACATGGCAAGAGGGCGCCATGCAACACCACCTATGTGATATCTTAATTGTAATATTTTTTTCTTCCATGTTGTGCTCATTTGTATCAGGAAACCTACCTACTCATTAACAAGCTGATAATTTAAATAGAATTAGTTTATTTTGTTAATAAATTATTTATTTTAGGTAATATACATAGTATTTTCTCATTGCAGTTTTAATCTCGTCCTTGACCAAAAAGATAATCTAGGATCTATGTATACAGGGTTGGGCAAAAGTCCGGAATAAAATTATTATCTTTTGAACCAGTAATTTAAACAAAAACGCTGAAACACGTGAATTGATTTTATATTGGAAGGATTTATTGCCAATAAAATGATTTTTTTTTCTTCAACCCCTTAGTTGCAACCCTACCCAACTCTATTTTTTCAAATGCAAAGGTATGTCGTGTGTAGGGTCATTGAAAAGCCCGTGAAAAATGGAATCTAAAACATACCTTTTTTTTATTTTTTCTCATGTTGTTATTTGGAAATGGGCAAAAATTTCTTTTAAAAACAAAAAAGTTACAAATACTTTTTTAGTGCTATCGACGTAGAAATGTTGAAAATGTCCTCCACCCTCTACTTAACAGACTCCAAGGCGATGGTAAAACCTAATATCGGTAGCCTATCTTTAATTCTGAATGAATTTTTATTAAAAACAGGCGAGCCTGGGCAGGCAGCACACCAAATTTTATTGATTTTCCGTTTAAAACTGATAAGACAACTTAGCATCAACATTCGTTGAAATTTATGTTTTAAGAAAACACTAAAACATTAAATGGGTTTAATTTTAAGCCATTGTTAATCAGTGAACTTTAAAAAGGAAAGAAGGTGTTGCATTTTTGTACAGGTTTTTTTTACCAAAGGTTCGCCAGTTTTTATTAAAAAGTCATTGAGAATTAAAGATATGCTATCGATATTACGTTTTACCAATGCCTGGGAGCCTGTCAAGTAGATGGTGGAGGACTTTTTCAACATTGCTACGTCGATAACACTAAAAAGGTATTTGTAACTTTTTTGTTTTTTAAAAGAAATTTTTGCCCATTTCCAAATAACAACATGAGAAAAAATAAAAAAAGGTATGTTTTAGATTCCATTTTTCACGGGCTTTTCAATGACCCTACACACGACATACCTTTGCATTTGAAAAAATAAAGTTGGGTAGGGTGACAACTAAGGGGTTGAAGAAAAAAAAATCATTTTATTGGCAACAAATCCGTCCAATATAAAATCAATTCACCTGTTTTAGCGTTTTTTGTTTAAATTACTGGTTCAAAAGATAATAATTTTATTCCGGACTTTTGCCCAACCCTGTATACAGGTTGTTTTATTTTAGCTTGCAATATAGAATACATATGGTATAGGTGCGATAAATACAACTTCCATCAGACATTTATAAAGGAAAAAGAAAGAGTTATATTGTGTCATTGCAATTTTTCACTCTTACAACTGTTACTTTAATAATCTTTCTTTATTCAACTCATAGAAAAGACCATATTGCAAACTGAGATGCACCATAGGGTAGATATATGGATATAAATTTTATAGAATATATTATGTATAGGTACATCTAGAATTCTTAGAGAATTTTATCGCGTATAAAAAGAATAATAAAGATAATTGTAAAATTTATTTGTTTCTTAGATCCTATAGTTGATACAGTTAATACCAAGAGAAACAATAAACAACTAAAATATTTTTCGGTGAGATAACCTATGAAACATTTCTTTATTCCATTAATCAAATCTTAAGCAAAGTGAAATTGTCTTAAGTGACACTATTAAACCATGTTTAAAATTATTGGCTTACCCATTCTTCACCTACTTGGGATTATTCCACGCATCTAAAACAAGAATAAAAAAAAATAGTCAGTTTATTTAGTTTGCCAATTTTTTCATAACAGATAAAAAAGGTTAGTATACAGGGTTGCCTAACTCCATGCAGTTAAACCCTCATACAATATAACGTCCTGAAATGAGTTATATCAAGCAATTTTCAGAGTTGTATAAATATGTGCAAATATGATTGTATAAGGAACTCATTTGAATAATAAAACGTAATTGTGAAAATTACATTTAATTATATTCATCTTTTGAGTATCATAACCCATACAGCTGATGATCAACAATCATGAATCAAGCTTTGTTTTTCATAGGTCTAACCAATTCTAATTTCTAATGTGGGTTTTCAACAAGTAAATGTAAATAAGATAAAGTGGGTGGTACTAATTAATCGTATACACGGCCCCTAATATGCCTACAATCCAATGCTATAGGTGTCGAAATATTTTGTAAAAAATTCAAAAAATTGAATTAAAAAAATTCTCATTGAGATAAATAATAATACAATAAATTAACATAATTAGTCTAAGCAAGAGTAATTTATAGCCTACAAATTGTTATGCTAATTTAGGTGTATTAAAAAACAGTTTGCTGAGCAAAATAAAAAAAATTCATTAATTTTACATACATATTAAACCTATTATCTACATAAGTGTAGGTGTATACAATAAACAAATTAGGAAACCCTCTATAATAGATTATTTAGTAAATGACATGACCATGATCTACCCTATAGGAAACATAAATAAGACTGAATACTTACATAACGAAATAAAAAAAAGAAAGTAGAGAAACAACTTTCTCAAATCTAACCCTTTCTATGGCTCTACTTACATAAGAATTCAGTCTTAACCCTACCGTCAATTCATTGATGCCTTCTGTGATATTTCAAACATCTTCGCTGTTCTGTTAATGTGAAGTGAAGTGCTACTTTATAACATAAAACAGTACCTAATAGTAATTAGGTACTTAGAGAAGGTCTTAGTTAATTATTTAAAAGGACGTCTCAATTAACAAATACTACTCCATAATCTAGGTATAATGGAATACAAAAATGGAAAATGGATACCAGTTTTAACTTTTACAATTAAAAAAAGGCAGGGTAGGTACGTATACCTAAATAATTTTGTTTTTAAACAATTTAAACCGATCTTTATTAAGCTATATTAGCACAAATAATGGGCTATACAAAACTGGATGTTTAGTAACACATGTATCTAAATATTTAATTTGTTATTCTACGTTTTCTAATTAAAAGAAGATTAAGATTAAATTAAGAATTAATATGATTTGTTTTTCAATGATAATAGAAACATAAACATAATAAATATTTTTCGCTTTTTGTAACAAAATTCTACATTCGACAATTAAATTAATTTTTTTAAAAATTAGTAAAAATTCCAATATTGTTAAACAATAACTGATTACCTACTGGCGCGCATAATTATTCAAATCAGTATTTAATGTATTTTCACAATATTTTTAAAACAGAAACCGATTGTCTTGTTGATTTTCATGAAGACATTATGATCAATGTGAAAAAAACATATTTGTACTGTTTATGCAAGTTGATTATTTATTGGATCACGAAATACAAATGTTATTTTCTACTGGAAGATCCTGGTAGATATATATTATTATGTATTTTTAGCTTGTGTATACAGAGTTTGCGTTGTTGGCCTGAATAAATTAGGAAGATAAAATTTTTTTGATGAAATAATCACTTCTTATATGCTTTAAGTAAGTTTAAATAAATGATGCTGATTGAAGAATTTTGAAATTATTTAAAAATGAAAAATAATCTAC